GCAGCCGCAGCAGCAGCCGCAGCAGCAGCAGCAGGGGCTGCAGCAGCAACAGCAGCGAAAGCGCACGCGCGACGGGCGGCCAGTCCCCATCTTGCCTTCCTCCTTCCCCCCTATTACTTCGATAACTGTGCAGAGGCCGATGATGCCGGTGATGCCGATGTTTCCGATGGAGCTGCTGCCTCCCCCCGCTGCTGCTGCTGCTGCTGCTGCTGGTCAAAAGCCGCTGGAGCATGGCTCAGACGGAACAGCCGGCAGGTTCCCGCTGCTGTCGACACTACTGTCGAATGGAGAAGATGCAGCATCAAAACTTTCTTGGCGAGATGCCTATGGGAGCTCGAGTCCCGCAGAGTTGGAGGAGAAGCCAGAAGTAGCAGCAGAAGGAGCAGCAGAAGGAGCAGCAGGAGGAGCAGCAGGAGGAGCAGTAGAAGGAGCAGCAGAAGGAGCAGCAGAAGGAGCAGCAGAAGGAGCAACAGAAGGAGCAGCAGTAGCAAAAGTGGAGGCAGAGGAGGGCAGCAGCGTCGCCGTGAAGCCCCAGGGGCCCCCCGGCGCAGTAGCAGCTGCTGCTGTTGCACTGATGCAAGCAGCAGTACAAGCGCAGGAAGCAAGAGAAAGGCAAGGGTTGTCATCTCGTGCCCTGGACCTTTCAGTAAGGAAGCCGGAGGAAGCTGGGGCCATGCAATACCTGGGTGCATCAGCAGCAGCAGCACAAGCAGCAGTGGATGAGGAGCGTCTTGCTGCGGAACTTGCTGGTGTTGACGCGGGCGACGAGGACAGCGAGGAAGAAGACGACGGCGCTTTAGAAATTGTAGATGAGTCGGACGACGAGTTGGAAGAAGCAGCAGCAGCAGCAGCAGCGGAGGCGGAGGCCGCCGCAGCAGCGGCGGAAGCAGCAGAAGCAGCAGCAGCAGCAGACGCCGAAGACGATTCCTCGGAGAAGCAGACAGATGGGGAAGACAGCGTGGAGGCGGACGACGACGTAATACCTCTGCCGGGCCCCTCGGACGCGCCCCCCTCCTCAGCAGCAGCAGCAGCAGGGGGGCCCCTGCGCAGCGAAGAAGGCGCGGAAGGAGCGCCCGGCGTGAAGGCCCCCCCCTTGTTCGCGGGGGTCTACGCGCACCCCTTCTGCAGACTCCCGCTGGTGGACAGAAGCAAAATCTTGAGGGGCTTTGACCCCACAAGGGCCTTGGCCAGAGTCGAGCAAGCCCCACAAGCAGCACCTTTGCTGCGGCAGGCGCACCAGCTGCTGTCGAAGCTGTTTCTGAGCCCGCAGGAGCTGCTGTGGCTGACGGGCGTGGCGGAGGGGCTGGTGGCCTGTTTGCTGCGGCACCACCAGTCGGACTTGGGGAAGCTGAAGGGCAGCAGAAGAGTCGAGCAAATGGGACTTCGGTTTTTGATGTTCGACGCAATTGTGAGCACTTTTATTCTGCTGGGCGAGCGCCCCGAGGGCGAGTGGTGGGCGCGGCTCACTGTACATACACCCCACGCCCCCCCGCCCCTCGGGCTGCTGCCCCCCAAAACCGAAAAGGCGCATGCAAATGCTGCGCTGCTGCAGCGGCTGAGTCGCGCGCTGCAGCAGCTGAAGCAGGGGAGGAGAAATGCACATTTGGAAACTTATAAACTCAAGTTCCTCCTCTTCTGCGCAGACAGCGGCTTCCGCATGTTCCGCAGAAAGGTCTACTCCATCTTCACCAAAGACTGCGCGGAATTCGCCTGGTGGCACTGACGCCACCCTAAACCCTAAACCCTAAACCCTCGGGGCCCAGCCCCGCACGACCGCGCACGCGCTGCCAGCGACGCGCGCACAGCGCCCGGAGATGCGCGCTGGGCTTTGGGGTTTGCGGTTAGGGTTTGGGGTTTGGGGGGAGCGCTGGCGGGGAGGAAGCCGGGACCCAAACCCTAAACCCTAAACCCCAGATAAACCCCAACAGCATATCGACAAGGCCATGGGCAGGAGCCTCCGAGCTGCGGAGGCCCCAGGTAGTTCAAGTGCTCAGCAGGCTTCGTGGTCCAGGCGAGGGAATGACAGAGTCTCTAAACCCTAAACCCTAAACCCTAGCCACAGCGAAGAGCCACGGGGGCCCTGCAGGCAGGCAGCGTCTGTGGGGCCGTCAGCGGAGAGCCCGACGGCCTTTATTCTGAGCGGCGGCGCAGGTGGGGGGTAGGGTTTGGGGGGGTGGCCCCCAAACCCTAAACCCTAAACCCTAGGGCGGAGAGCCTGGAGGCGGGAGGCCGCAGCAGCGCCGAGAAGGGCGGAGCCGCCGCGGTGTCTAGACACCTGAAGGGAGCTGCAGCAAACCCTCGCTGGCCAAGAAGAAAGCAGGCTTTCATATTTGTATTTTTGTCTTACTCTGGGATGAGCTGCTGCTGCTGCTGCTGCTGCTGCTGCAGTTGGCAGCCACCCACAGCAGCATTTTGCCTGCTGCAGGTAGCAAGTGCGTCCAAAGGGAGGCGGGAGCCCCCCGTATGTGTGCTGCGTGTTGCTGCGCTGCTGCTGCGCTGCTGCTGCGCTGCGGCCGCGTGCTGCTGCGCTGCTGCTGCGTGCTGCTGCGTTGCTGCTGCGTTGCTGCTGCTGACCATTTGGCTGTGGGGCTGCAGCACGTGGCTGCGCACTGCCACAATAGGAATAATGCAGATCAAGTGGCGCCTTTGAGCCGCTGCATGCAAATGCATTTTATTGTTTTTCTTTTCTTCTTTTCCCCCTGCTATGGCTTTCATTTGTAATAGTTGTGCAAAAAGACCTGCTGCTGCTCTGTCCTTCTTCGCAAAAGCTAGCTGCAGCGCCAGCCCAACGCCCGAGTTGCTGCTGCTGCTGCTGCTGCCCACGAATGTATACTCTTCAGCAAAATCCAATTCTCTCATTCTGTATAATGCATTCTATGTATATTTTGTGTATATGCATGCGCATGTACTGTGTATGGATACATTCACACATAGGGTTGTGCTTGTCCTGGCCGGTGCTGTGCTGCTTCTCCGGGAGGTCAGCTAGCTAGCTAGCTGCCTAGCTAGCTAGCTGCTGGCTAGCTAACTAGCTAGCTGGCTAGCTAGCTGGCTAGCTAGCTAGCTAGCTAGCCACGCGGGTGGCTTGTTTGGCTCTTCATCTGGCTCAGATGGCTAGCTGCTCTGCCAGCTAGCTGGCTGGCCGGCCAGGCGACTGGCTAGACGCCGCCTAGCTAGCTAGCTGGCTAGCTAGCTAGCTGGCTGGCTAGCTGCCGGGCTAGGTGTTTGGCTAACTACCTGGGGGGCTGGCCTGGGAGCTAGCTAGCCGGGCTCCGCAGTTCCGGGAAAACTAGCTGCTGCTGCTGGTGCTGCTGCGCTTGGACTTTGAGCAGCAGCAGCAAAATCAATAGATTTAGAGTGCTTCCCGTGCGGGTCGTTGTGCCGTAGAGACACTCCAGAGGACCTGCACAGAGCTTTTTGTTTCCGGTGTACATACACCTCACTGCTGCTGCATGCGATGCTGCAGCAACGCAGCACCGCCTTTTGTGGGGCGTCCGGTGTACGTACACCCCAGCCGGCCCTTCAACTTATTCCCGAGCACATCACCTCGACACTATTTTATTTGAATTTTGCATTATACAACTAACTGAACCCTAGGAGGGGTCCCCCCGCATGGGGGCCCCCATGGGGGACCCCTAGCCGGGGCCCTATAGTGCAAACCCCCTAAAAGAACCCCTAAGCAGCCCCTAAGGGGGCCCCCTTAAGGGCCCCCTTAGGGGCCCCCTTAAGAGACCCCTAAGGGCCCCCTTAGGGGCCCCCTTAAGGGACCCTTAAGGGTCCCCGTAGGGGCTCCCTTAGGGGGCTCCCGGGGGACCCCCCCGACGGCCCCTTGGGGGGCCCCCTACGGGGGCCCTTGGGGGGCCCACTAGGGGCCTCCTAAGGGGCCGTGCTTGGCGTGTTCCCTAGTTAGGTTTGCTACTGCTGTTGCGCAGAGAATCTGTTGCAGCAGCGGCAGCAGCAGCAGCAGCACCAATATCCTCTGCGACCACAGCGTCTGCTGCTGCTGCTGCTGCTGCAGTTGCTGCAGTTGCTGCTCTTTCCGTAGCTTGTGCCGCTTCTGCACTTTGCCTTGCTGCTTCTATAGCTTCTGCTGCGCTTAAATCTGCGGTTTCAGCTGCTGCTGCTGCCGTTGCTGCCGCCGCTGTTGCTGCTGCTGCTGCTGTTACTGCTGCTGCTGCTGTTTCAGGGGGGCCCCCCTCAACAGAGGGGCCCTCTTGTGTCACTTCTTCCAAAAGTGCTGCTAATATTTGAAGCTGCTTCTCCAGCAGCTTTATATTCTCTTTAGAAGATTTGGCGCTCTGCGCGAAGCTGCTGCTGCTGCTGTTGCTGCTGCTGGTGCTGCAGGTAAGCGTTCTGCTGCTGCTGCTGCCGCTACTGCTGCTGCCTCCCGCAGCTTCCTCAAACTCTTCAAGCGCGTGCTGCGCAGGCAAACAGGCCCAGGACCCTTAAGCCCGAAACCCTAAACCCCAAACCCTAAACCCTAAA